AACCTCAAGGCCAGATGGTCATGCCTGACACATCGAATCAGAAGACACTCAGAGCATTCATCGATTTTTTCTGTACGTCTAACTTTTACGACGGAACCCTGTGCACACAAACTGTTTCTGCTACTGTTCTATGAACATGTCTCTGAAGATGAATCCGCGACGGATTTCGAAACGTCAGGCGAATAAACGTATTGTTCGAGCGATCGAGTTGTCTTCTTCTCAATTACTTCCTGGGACTCGCCCAGTGAGTCGTCTTTTACTTCTCAATTACTTCCTGGGACTCGCATGTTCGCTTGTATCAGTATCAGTTTATTGAGGTAAAGATAGGCGAAAGCCTTTGGTTTAGAAAATGCAATTTTTCTTAGATTTTGAAGGCATATAAGCGAAGGCCACTTCCAAATATTGCGCAATTTGAAGAAACAGGTGTTCAGTCTCACTTTTTACAGCATTTGTGATGGCTGAGTTCTCGCCCGCTTTAACCGGGCGCTTAAAAGGCAAGACTAGATAAGTGGAAATTTTAATTTTTTGCCCAGGTGGCCAAAACACGGAATGGCTTTCTAGTTGTCCTTGGACTAATACCATCCATGGGAAGATAAAGAAGGAATTTTTAATGATTTACTTCCCAAAGTGAATCGGAACTAAGACATCTCGAACTCATTCTTTGTGACGCATGGGTAAAATTGATGTATTTTGGTAACTTTTGAACTTTCAAAAACTTAGCGAGTAACATAATTGTTTTATCCTTGAGAAAAATAAACTGGAAGTGTCCAGTCCGCGCCAGACGAAGCAGCCAGGGTTGGTGAATCCTGGACCAGATCGGTGTACACCTATGTACATGGCTTCTCTGTACACCGAATTTACGTTCACGTTTTGAATAGAGTACTAAAAAGTTCATGCATATTTTCCATAAATATACCCGCTGAAGGGTTAGGAGAGTACAGGAGAATTTCATCGGTTATTGAAAAATTTGGTATAATAGTGAAACAGCCGACTGCCCCGCTAGCACTTGTTTCCGTTCTGAAGAGTACATCAAACAGGCATAACGGGCCACCTGCTAAAATCGCCACCGTTTATTCCACTGTTTGAATGGCAGTGTCCTAGTAAAAAAGTGAATGCATTTTTACTCGGAATGCTACCCAAAATGTCATTTTTTGCGTGTAAGAGCCAACTGTTTGCTGCCCGTACGTATCTCTGCCACCTCTTTTCATAATCGTGCCAGACAGCACCGATCCTATGAAACCACAAGACCGCTGCCGGCTTTTTCTCGGCTTGTACTCGACTTTATAATTATTTTTATAACATACGGCCTATTTAACTGTCAAAAATAAACTACCTTATTAAAATTCTTAAATGTTTACAGTTTGTTTGGGCTGAAATTCTAGCGCTCAAAACAGTCTGACGACGATGTTTTCCCGATTATCGTCTGTGTATTCACGTGTTAATTTGACGAGGTACCTTACGCCAAACCAGTTCCGAAAATTATCAACAGGCGTGCGAAAAGTTGTCCTTATCCCCGGTGATGGTATAGGTCCTGAGATATCGGCTGCCGTTCAGAAAATATTTTCTGCGGCCGATGTATGTTTTCTTTATTTGTCTGTCTCGCTGTCCTTTTATATTAATAGCCCAATCCACTTTTTATAGATCGGAATTTTTTGCCTTTTTCACCAGTCATT